TGGTTCTTTCAGCGCCGGCTTAATCACCTTCCTGCATTCCAGCCGTTTAAACAGAGATGCAGTAACATCCTGTGAACAGCTCAAACCAAATAAAACAACATTACGCCATAAACAGAGAAAAAGAACAGGCAAGGAGGACGAGTAATAAAAGAAGAATTGACCACAACAGAGGACGAGCTGGTAGCGAGGCCTAATAGGTCGGTCTGGCGGAGTTTAAGTACTATATGAGTATGAGTTCACAAGTGTGTGCTTTTGTGTGCATTATGATCTTCTTGTGTGTTTGCATTGTCTACGTCCTGATTAGTCTATACTGGTGATGCATTGCGGGCTTAGGTATGACTTGCGCAATTTTTGATTTTCCTTTCTGAGTAACTCCGCCAGTCGCCATTAAGAGCGAAGAGACAAGAGCTTTAGAAAAAAGCCCAAAAAAGTGCTGGGAAACAAACACAAGAAGATACTTCGAAGAATGTTCCAACTGTTTTCTCAATGAAAGTCAATGTGGTCCAAAACTACTCTAGACCCCATTGACTTTCATTGTATTGTATGGATGGAAAAAAAAAAAAGGACATACTTCAAAATAGCTTCTTTCGCGTTCAAGTTATAAAGGTTTGGAAACAACATGAGGGTGAGTAAACGATGACAGAAATGTCATTTTTGGGTGAGCTATCCCTTTAAGAGAAGAGAAACAAAAAGGAAACACTGTCTTTATATGCTATAAACTGTGAGAGAGACAAAGGAAATTAGGGTTAAAAAAAACAAAGTCATACATTACCCAGCTCAGTGCCAGCTTGGAGTGCCAGGCCAGTAAAAAGTAAGCCCATAAAAACTGTTAATTAAAAGATCAATGTTTAGCTTCAAAGAAAGGGCAAGGGCTCAAACAGTGCGCGGCCCCTTGTAAATACTAAAGCACATTCTGAATGCAAGAGGCTTGTCATTAGTAGAGGACTGGGCATAGCGGACACCAACCTCAATCCTCTACGGGCTTGATGGCGACTGTGCCACAAAAGGCCATTAAATTAGGTACTAATAACTCGGTTTATAAGAATGATGATTAGCAAAGAGCCCCCTCCCAAATCGAGACTACGGAGAGACATACGTGCCATCAAAAGACACCACAAGTAAATTCATGTGGACGTTACTAACAATAATGGACTGAACAGAACACGCTAAATAAGCCAATAATGAGCCCAGACTTTTCTCGTCAATTTGAGCCTGTCATGGCCAAACGGGCCCATTCTGGCATCTTCCATGTTGAAGGGATCTAAATGGGTGAACTGTAGCGCGGAGAGAACGCTAATGTAATGTGCTACACTCCCAACGCAAAGAAAAGAAGAGAGGTCAAAGAAGACATCAATCAAAGGGGCTTGTGAACGCCGGCAACTCGTCCAATCCACCATCTGCAAGTGATTCCACCATCAGAGAAAGACCAAAAGTGTCTTCAAGCGGATTGTGTCTTACATGCAGGACATGTAACTGAAGAATGAGCAGGATCCCGTACATGTGGATACAATATGGATGCGAAATGCTAAATATCTCCGAGCTATTGGATTTGGAGAGGAAAAATCCTGATATATGTGTAACCGTTTGAGAGGTAAAGCCTAACCGGTGAAACCTGAAATATTCATTATCACTGCCTTAATGTGTCCGACACGAAATTGGCATGTTGGCCAAGCCGAAACAACTCTGCCAAGTGTTGCAACCCTGCACAAACCTGCACGCTCTTGAACAATCCTACATAATTCATTTGCTCCATGCTCACCAATTTATCTGAGGACCCAAATGAGTCAAAAACCTGGCACGAAGGTCCAGGAGTTCTTATCGCCCCCCATGACAGCGGTGCTTTCTAAACACTGTCAATGATAGTTTGGACAAGATAAACACAGAATTGTTGACCTTAGAGAAGGTCCATGAGGAATAACAGTTTGGAGAGACCGAGCAAAAACAAAGTTCAACAGCGCTTTTCAGGATAGCCACTAGAGAAGGGCTTGAGACTGCAATTGAAGACCATTATTCTGGAAATTCTAGTCCCTTTTAAGCACATCATGGGCAAGAATTCGCTTTGAAAACCAAAGATCAGACCTCATGTTTACATAGCGCAGTAGCCTTAACTGACCAGTGGCAACACTCAGTTTGAAAAGGCCAGGCAACTTTTCAGTCCGTCCTTACAGTCTGGTGAAAGCTGTCTCTCTCTCAAAGGAAAATAAATGTACAGACGTCTCTCTACTTCATATTAAACAAGTACTGGAGGGGGGGGGAGTCCCTTGGAAAGTGCCAATTTTTGGAACAAAGTTTACTTGCAGCAAACTAAAAATCTTAAACATTATTTGTTCACTGGCCAAAGGCTTGTCATCAGGCAGCCCACATAAAAAATGCATTTCAATAATGTCGGAGTGAGCCAAAAACCTGCCAAGCAGATAGTTCCCCGTGCAGTGAAACACATGAGCATTGTATGAGCCTTGGCACCATCACAGCAGATCACTCTCCTCTTCTCTTGAGGAATGGGGCCGATTTAAAGTGAGTATAATGTATATGTAGACTTCCAGACAATTTATTTTTCTGATGTTACAAAAAGCATTGGGGATGGATGCAGAATCGGGACTCACCGACGCAGGGACTAAACCCAGTGTCCGTTTGCAGACAATTTACTGTTACGGTAGGTATGGCAATGGGTTCAAAGTGAAGTGCAGAAAACGGATCCACGCATGCATTTATTACAGAGAGGGGATCGTTCATCATGGAGAGACTAAATCCAGCCACTACCTCCTCAAACGCTTCTCTCTTTCGCCGTCCAAATGCTGACACTCCTTTTCTTTATCACGCCATTCCAGTTGCTCTTCTTTTTTTAAAGTCTTTCTCAACCCCCCTTCCTCCACTCTTGGCTCTCCCCTGCCTTTTAAGTGAGCCTTGGGTAGCTTTTTGGTTTTCTTTTGTTAAAGTAACAGTAAACGAAGCTAATAAAACACAATATATTGGACTATTTATTTTCTGTAGGAACACATTCCACTCTATAAAGAGGACTAATGGCATTTACACAGCGCCGGACTGATTCTTAAAGCCAATAGGAGATTTATAGACAGCGAACGTTAGCGTCAGCTAAGGGCCGTGAGGGCCAGGCCAGATGGCTCCAATAATCAATGGGTGACAAATCCAAGTACCCGAGAAACCTTACGGTTCCTTGAGTGTGCATATACGCATAAATACACAAACTTTATTTGCTAAGTTGAGTCATGAAGAAAAGGCAAGATGTATAAAAAGTTACATTGATTTGAGGACCAAACTATCCTCGACAAAGTCTTTATGGTAACAGTTTACAATAACGTTCAGTTTAGTATCATTAGTCAATGCAACAGGTATTATGAACTAAGAATGAACAATACTTTTACTAACATCTGTTTACATGTATCATTTTTCAATTGATTTTGGTTGATGTTAATCTTTATTTTTTTACATCTTCAAACTAATACATGTATAATAATTATATAACATATTATATCTGTATTGCTTTATATATATATATATATATATATATAATATTAAATAGAGCAACTATATATATATATATATATATATATATATGTAGAGAGAGAGAGAGAGGGAGAGAGAAAATACTGCATAATACTATAAATACTAATACTATCTATATTACATTACATTACATAGTTTGGCGTCAGTAAGATATCTGAATGGTTTTTGAAAGAAGTCTCCATATACTCACCAAGACTAAAATGTATTTTTATTAATTATGTTTCTATATTTAATTTACGTCCTTCTTAAACTTTATAAATTGTATTTATATAATTCTCGCTTTGTTAAAATATATATAATTAAATGTGCTATGTTTTTTTATACATTTAAATGTTTATATTTTTGTTATATTTAATTTTAACTTCTAATAAAGCAAAGTAACTGGCAACGATTGTTTTATTTATTTAATTCTTGTTTTATTATCTATAAAA